TAGCTGGGAGGGCTAGCCATCTGGAGGGCCCAAAGGTGTGAGACAGTGACCTCTCAAAGGTCCACCGATCGTGTCACCGTGTTGTCATGCCAGTAAATGGGAAGAGTCCTGACGAAACCGAATTCATTGCCAATCTTTGCATTCTCAGACTTTTTTGGGACCTGAGTCGTCCAGTGAAACCTGAGCTGACATACTCAGATGTCCGAAATCCTTCATGTCACACCAATCCCGCATCAGTGGTTTTAGGATCCCCTGACTTCCTGGTCATAATGCGAGGTGGCTCCGTTGAGCGGGTCATGGCAGTTCTTTGAACATCACCCAAGAAGATCCGCCCCGGAAAGCCCTGGCATCCGCCTCAGGCTTGCGCTTGCCGCTGTGCCAATCGCTCCTTTTTCCTGAGTGGCAGCTACGGATTCTGCGGCATTTCCACGTTCTACCCGCCAAGCAAGAACCAAAAAAAAAGGAAGCTGTTCTGGAGAAGAACACCCAAACAGCCCAAGCCCATCCCATAGCTTCGCAACCCAGTATTCTATGTCCCTCATCGTGCGGCTTCGGAAATTCCTTGAGCTGCCGCAAGTGCAGTCACCACCAAGGGTATTCCTCACACTGGATTTGCTTAAAAAAGATCACGGGTTCTGGTCCAGTTCTGGTTTGGAAGATCACATAAACATTTATCAACACCTGGGTTGAGCGGATTCAAGCTGTATCTGGAACATGTTGCTCAGGCTGTCAAGTGGAACACCCACTCTACGGGAACATCTGTCTTTTGGTGATCTTTCAGCCCATAAAAATCACTAACTAAGCATTTATCGGCCCTAATGTAGGTATTTATTCCCTACATCATCCCATCAGCCCCTCGACTCTTGTCGTTCGAAATCGGCACGCTGGGACGATCCGGAAATCGGAAAGGCCCGCTGGGCGCCAAGGGTCTCTTCTTCTCGCTTGGCCTTCTTGAACCTCGCCCACTTCACCGACTCCTTGGAGCCGGGAGCAACTGTTTGTGCCGAAGGGTGGTGTGGTGACCACTTTGGGTGTGCGCCAGAAGGGAGTAAAGAAAGGCCCGGGGACTTGAAACCACATGGGCATGATGGACGATGTAGGCTTCTATGGCAAAGGTTCCCTTTGTAAATCATGGGACTTGTGGAGTCCGTGGGTGAGATTTCGTTTTCGGTGGAGCTGTTGAAAAAAGCATTCTGGGGGCTGGTGTCTGAGCCCCACCAGCTTTGCCTTCTTTCCCTTGCTGTTTAACATGGTTGATCCCAAAAAGTCAAGCAATGTCAAGCATACCATAGAAATCATAGAACTTGAAAAACTGATCAACCAATGGCCTGCACGGCTTTGCTGCTGTGCGGTCATTCCTCGACCGTCCGCGTGAAATGTATCAACATCCGCATTCGTCCATCCACCACATAATGATGCCATATGCATTCATAAATCCTTGGTGATTCCAAAGCACGGCTGCCACCAGGGTCCACCCCGCTGGAGAACCGGGGTCCAAGCCTTCCAGTTCAAGAGCCACAAAGGCACCACGTTGTTCCTGAAAAACGATGCGCTTTTCACTGCAGAACAGGTCTATCCAACAAAAAGACCTAGCAGTAGAACAAACCTATGTATACCTATGTAATATATAATATAGTTTGGAACATGGATCATGTATAACTTATATGACATGACCTATGGTCTTGGTATGGAGCTTGCAACTGAGGACAATCCTGCCGTCGCATTAGGCAAGAAGTAATTAACATGGGTTTGATGAACCGAAAAAGGTTCCGGCATTCTCTGTATACCAAAAAATGATATTAAACAAATTGCATCCACTCGCTTTTCTGATCCCGATCTCATCTGCTCAGCAAGAGTTCCTGACCAACGGCTCCACCCTTTCTCGCGCACGGATTCGGATCCGAAGATGCCACCCGTTTCGTCGGGCACCCGTGCCAGGTTTCAGGGATTCGTCGCGGGTTCTTTGGCGGCGGCTTCTTTCGGCTGATGGCGCTGCACGCGCGATAGACGATGCCAAACCTGAGTGACGATGCGGTGGAGGACCGATGTCTCTGATGTGATTTGGGCGGATTGTCAGCAATGACTCATGGGTACATATGGTGGATGATCATGAGGGGTGGATTGGATGGTGCTCTGGATGGTATGATGGGTGCATGATCACTGAACATGTGGTGGAGTTGGGATAGCGCTTTTGGTCTTCTGCTGTTTGGGGGTGGGGGTCGCATGACTCATGTATTGAACCTGTCTCAAAATCACGGTGGCCTCGAACCGCGGACTTTTAATCTGTGATCCCCGAAAACCTTCCCGGCATTTTACTCAAATGGGAGACCAGCGACTTCTGATTTCCAACTTTCCACCTGATACATCTACAGGCGGTTGTGTGGAGCCAAAGTCTTTCCCTTGAAAAACCCATCCCCAAACTTATATGCAAACATTGTTGCTACTAGTAACAAGTGCCACGCTAGTAGTAGCAGGTGCCTTACTAGTAGTAACAAGAAGCTATTAGAATTAGAATTAAACTAATCTTAAACTATAATTCCGTCAAATTCCGTCAGTGACGGACGGTGCCAGCCAAGCAGCATGGGATCAGTATGCCAGCCTCAGCTGGGACATGGGAGCGACCGTCAGTTGGAGTCGCTCAAAATGGAGTGGGTCAGTCAACTCCAGTCAGCTCCCACAGGGTGTTCAAATGTGTTCAGTCCCACTCCGTCCTTGGCGAACGGGGCACGCATGTTGGAAGCTAAGATGACGGACTTTAAGATCGAAACGATCCAAATGCCAAATGATATACCAAAGACCACCATGCTGACCACCTAGCGGAGGTGAGCTTCATGAGCCCTCTCTCTGTAAATGTTATATATATCAGGACCCTCCTGGCCTAATAGGTGGTTTCTGGGCACCTGTCGTCACCAGGAAACACCTGTTGGAGGGTGCTGGTAATGAAAAAATTGGTGCACCAGAACCAGAACCATCCAATTGAGTGTTCAATGGAGATCCACAAAAGTAGTGTAGGGTAGTCCGTTGGACACCCATTAGTTGTATTGAGGTATATAAGGCAAAGACATGTCACCACCTCCTTGCAGCTGCAAACAAGCCACATGCTTTGCACCAACCCTCCTTGCAGGAGAACGCCACGTCCTGGCGGCTTTGGACTCCGAGACGGCACCTTTGGACTCAAACAGACCTTTGACAGTTGGAATTTCAAACAACATCCCTACCTGCCCCATGTGAGGAAAATTTGGGAAAACAACTTCAGTTTATTGCAGACAGCCAAGACTCCAGCAGCTTTCTACGGTCAAACTTCGGAACTCAAACGATCCTCCACGCCCACTTCAGCGGCTTTCAGAATCTCGATGCCTCACGCACTGCGATTCTGACCAGAAGAACAGATTCCAGACGTTCCGGCATTCCTTTAACACACTAAACCAATGTATTATAATCATGCGGAATCATTGAATCAACCTTTGCCATGCCCACCAAAGCCTATAACACATATGCCAACAGTTGCAAACAAGCATGGCCAAACAGTCCAATCACAAATCTTGGCCAAATTATTTCCCTTGCCGCGGTCCATGGCCTCGCTTCATCGTCGCCACCTTGCCGCTGGGCAAAAAAACGACTTTCACCTCAGTGGAGACACCGTCCAGCATCGTCCAAATCTTCAGAGCTGCTCTAGAGATATGAATTGTTGCGCATTTGCCCCTGTTCGTTGTTTCGTTTACTGGCGACTCCATTCCCCAAACATTGCTCCCCTGAGCGCGCAGCTGGTCCTGGGAGTTGCGAGCAGCATGACTTTGAAGGGGCAAACAACTTCGCAGTGGTGGTTTAGATAGCTACCCTTAGGATATACAATCATGTGTATATACATATATAACATAACTAATATTGGTTAACTATACAATACATATTAAAGGGGGGAAGAGTGGCAATACACATTGATACACCATATACTCTGCACGTGCTGCAATGTACAGTACTCACCAAAAAATGCAAGTCTATCCAATCGACCCATCTTGGAATCACTTCAACTTCCATGAAGCTCCTCACCGAAGGTAGTTACCAGGCACTTCTCCATGCTTCTGCCTAGTTTGCATGGAATTCGCCCCTTCAGGACCAGTCACCACACGATCCGTCCGATCCGTCCCGACGGAAAGGAACCGCACGATTGGGGTGTCCGGTGTCCGCTGCCCGATTTACAGATGGCCCCTGCCTGCCATATAGTGACGGCCTCAGTGATAAGGACTCAGAAATGATCTGGACTGACCGTCAGACCCCTCAACAATCCTCAACATGTTGAAAAAGAAAGGTCCAAAGCAGTCGCCAGAACCTTAAAGAGCACAAGACCAGACCAAGTTGCTGAATGGCAGTGTGGCAAACTTGGCAACAATGTCTGGAAAACGCGACTTTGCAATTTTGGGGACATCGAGGTGCACCAAAGAACCACTCAAAACAAAGGAATGCACAAAGAAGAGAGAGCGAGAGAGTCTTCTCCAGACGTGGTTGCAACCACACCCCCCAAAAGCCGCTAGAAAGTGTGAGTCGTCAGTCGTCAGCACACAGGAATGCAAACTGACAGCGAATCTCGGGCACCCTGCAAAGTGACAGCGTCACACTATCACCTCAGTGGCACGACACAGGCGCTGCTTCCAACTTTTGATAAATCTAGCTGTTTCGGGTGCATCGAGATTCTGGCACAAGGCCACAGCCCCAAAAGCTCCGGCATCTCCCAAAAACAGTTGAAGAACTACTCAGCTTCACCAACTGGAGGGCTAATATGAATACGAACTCAGACCGCATCAGACCTATCCACACTGAGAAGGCCGGACATGTTTTCTCTGATTCTTTCTTTGTCAGGATCTTCTTTCGATCCACTGTCCGTTGATCAACCGCTTTGGGCCGTTTCAACTGCTCACCGAACCTGCTTTCCGCTTAAGCTGACCATGAATGGCACACATATATATATATATATAATTTATATAGAGCCCCATGAGGCCCCATGTGGGAACTTCCGGTGCCATTCATGCAAATAGAGATAGAGAACTTCTGGTGGGAACTTATATAGAGAACTCTATATAGAGATAGAGCCCCATGCGGGAACTTCTGGTGTCGTGGGAGGGGGGCGATTGGGCAATCCATGGGCAATCCGGACTTTGGCAGACCGGCACACCCGGTGGGCGACCACCTCAGGGACGTCCTCCGCCATCCTCAGCTGACGTCCTCAGCATCTGGCACTACCCAGGTGACATTTGGAAGATCCTCGAGGCTCGTTTAATGAGGTGGCAATTCCTCATCTATCCGGCATGCGCTGCATCCTGACACAAGCACACACATCCACTCACACCTACATGCTGAAGTGCTGAAGGAAATCACCAAACATGGCAACACGTCTTTGGAATGGATTTCAACCACCTGCAACCATTGCACTGCACCACCGCAAACCACTTTGCCACTGATTGCTCCTAGGGAAAAATACATATTTAGGGCTGACTATACGTATCACATGCGATGGCCGCCAAGCAGCCGCGTGAGATTTCATGTCAGCAACTGCAGCTTGGTCCTGACAAACGAACTGTGTGCATATGTCAGTCAAGTGACTAAGTGTACAATACTCGTACAAGATCGTACAAGTATCAAAGCTCCGCTCATGGGGTAGCCGGGCTACAGTGACGGTGCTTCCCCTCAATTTGTTCTCCCAAAGCAGCTTCGCAAGGCTGTCAAATCTGATCAAACCTCAAGTGAAGGTATGTTGTACCTTTGGCAACGAAAGCGGTTGGTAACCCCATGTAACCCCCAAATCCTGCTCCATTGCTCCATCAAAGTGTGGGACACTCGATGCCGGCCGAAGTCAACCCGATCACGGCGACCTGCGAGTAAGAAGGAGGGTTCTCCAGTTGTTTCAATCACAATGCGCAGAGTGGTACGAAACATGGACCTGACATGGATCCATGTCATGTCCATGTTCTTCCACCTCCCAGTGAGTCTGCCATGTACTCTAGCGCCAGCACCACCACCAGCCGAAGCCCCGTAAAACCATCTTTCTGAACCTGCTTTTGGATCTCGTGCTTGGTTCCAAATCTCTCTTTTCCTCAGATTTGGGGTGCCCCGGCACATCCTGCGCCTGATTCTTCCATGATTTCTTCCATCACATGCGCTCGTACTCAGTCCTGGTTTCGGCCACATGGGGCGAGCTCAAGACCTGCAGATTCTCCACGCCTGGCGAAAAGCCGGTCCGGCCGGTCACCGGGAAGAACCGGGTACCTGCAGCTGGTGAGTTGGACTGAGCTGAGAGTTTCTTGAGTTCACTTGAGCTCGTCCTTTTGAGAGTGAGTTGGCCCAATGGCCGTGTTCGGGCGTTTCAGGTGGTGCAGCATTTCAACGGTATCGTCGCCACAGTTTCTGTCTGAAAGCGCCTATCACCACGCTGCCGGTGTCCTTGTCGATTTGGTTGGACAAGACCTTTGACAGTCGGCCAGTGACCCATTTCTTGCTGGCTTCAGAGATGCAATTTGAACCATTCAATCATACCCATGGAGAGAACCTTTGCATAGGCGGATGTATAGGAGAAGCATCTAAAATAGGATAGCGTACCATAAATGTACTTGAGGCCAAGGGGGGGGCGAAAGCTAGCGCTCCAGAATGGGAAAGTGGAGGGCAGCGAGGTAGGAAAAAACACGGCGCTCTCTGTGGAGGCAGGGGTGAAGAGTCCTTTATATGTGGCTCTTTGCTCGGATCCTCCTGCGAGAGAAGAGAGAGAAGAGAGACGGAAAGACGAGAGACAGAGAGGAGAGAGAGAGAGAGAGAGAGAGAGGAGAGAGAGATGAGAGAGATGAGAAAGAGATGAGAGAGATGAGAGAGACAATGAGACAGTGAGAGAGTGAGAGTGAGAGTGAGCGAGTGCGGCCGCAAGATACGCAACGCTAACCGCACGCCAAAGAGCGACGACAGGACGGAGTCGAACTTACGAAGAGGGAGGAGGGAGGGAGGGAGGGAAGATGGGAGGAAGACAAGGAGGAGGAGAGGGGAGGTGGGGAGAGGGGAGGTGGGGAGACCTGAAAAATCAGGGGTTAGGATTTGCACCCGGTCGAAAGAAACCTTGCTATCGCAAGAGTAACGCTTTCGTGATATGTGGCTCTTTGCCCGGATCCTCCTGCGAGAGAAGAGAGAGAAGAGAGACGGAAAGACGAGAGACAGAGAGGAGAGAGAGAGAGAGAGGAGAGAGAGATGAGAGAGATGAGAAAGAGATGAGAGAGATGAGAGAGATGAGAGAGAGAGAGAGACAGTGAGACAGTGAGACAGTGAGACAGTGAGAGTGAGCGAGTGCGGCCGCAAGATACGCAACGCTAACCGCATGCCAAAGAGCGACGACAGGACGGAGTCGAACTTGCGAAGAGGGAGGAGGGAGGGAGGGAGGGAAGGTGG